GCACCAGTGTTCGAATCCCGCAGGCGGGTACCAATTTTTCTGATGAAATACGTACTTAACAAATGTTCACGATTGACTTCCACGGTGAAGGAATAGCATCGTGTAATAAAAATCAAACCCACCCGCGCGGACTCACAAGAGGTCCTACCACCAGTAAATATTCGTAAGGGTTAACCACTCTGCAGTGCAATGGTGCAGCGTCACCCTGGGGAACAGCCTGCATAGTCACGGTATCCCTACGCGAGGTATGTAGTATGATTTAGCAAGAGAAATACGAGAACGTCTATCAGTTGTGTAACATCTCGTCACCGCGATTTAGGAACTGTTGAATTTACGTCGCTGCACGTAAATTCAACTCTTCCTCAACTGGTACAAAATATGTACTAGAGTTAGGGTGCGGAGCGTGACCTTCTGTTCACCTTCGGGATCCCATAGCACCTTTCTATACGGACGCTGCCAGAAGCGGGGAGCTCTAGCAAGTCGGTCCAAGGAAGGCTGCTAGACTTCGGTAGACATAGAACACACCCGCATTCCCAGCCTCGCTCGCAGTCAGCAACCCCGGTTGCTGGGAAGTGATCCCGGTGAAGCGTATTCTGTTTATTTTATTTATTAATGTTTCTTGTATTTCTATTAAAACTTTCTCGAGTGTTCGGTGTATCTACCGACACACCGTCTTTATTAATTTCCATATTGTAACTGTCTTAACCTCTCACTAGTACTTATAACTATTATTGTAAATTTAACTCATTTTATGTTTTTATATCAGTGTTTAATAAACACAATATTGTTAATTTTAATTTGTTTTTTTTTTTGGGTGTAAGTTTCCCAGAGCGGTAAGTGGTGGCGCCCTGAGATCCTCCTCACAGTCTCCTGTTCACCGGTTGTCTACCGGTGGTGACGTGTCTAGAAGTGGTGCGACTCGGCCCCGTGTCTCTCGACCCATACACCACCTATTGGGGAGTGACGCGACTGGGCCTCATGTAACATCGGCATACCCAGGGGCACCCTCAGACACAGACACGTTATAAGTGAGCGCTTGAACAACCGCGTGGGCGTATTTAATGGAATCCTCCGGTTGAAGCATTTTTTTAAATTATATTGTTACGCTGGAAAGAGTAACGCCATCTAGCGTCGAATAGCCGAAACGAATATCAAAGATCCAGTGACATCTAGAGCGCTCGAGGAGTACAACGCCATCTATTGTCAGATAGTGGAAACCCACATCGAAAACACTCGACTTGTAAGGAATGTTCTCGATAAATCTAGGGATGTCGTATCGACTATAAAACCGTTGCAGAGATGGCACGCAGTTAGTTAGTAATCGGAACTACTCGAAGCGAAACAGCGAACGGATCACCTGAAGCAAATCGGAAAAGTGAATTAAAATTTTTAAAGTGTTCTGTGCGTGTTCGAAGTGCTAATACAGTTTGTACTTTGGTGGAACTTTTATTTATCCCGAACCCCAGTGCGTAGCCATATATTGCCCACATAGGCAGACGAGCATGCGGCCCACCTGATGGTGAGTTACCATCGCTTATAGACGTCAGCCAATGCCAGGGGCAGAGCCAAGCCGCTGCCTACCGAACCGAAGTCATCGAACCATATTTTTTTTCATTGCTTTGGTGGTTGGACGAGCTCACAGCCCACCTGGTTTTAAGTGGTAACTGGAGCCCTTAGACCTCTACATCCTAATTGCGCCACCCACCTTGAAATATAAGTTCTAAGGTATAGTTACAACGGCTGCCCCAGCCTTCAAACCGAAACGCATTTTTGCTTCACGGTAGAAATTGGCAGGGTGGTTGTACCTACCTGTGCGGACTCACAAGAAGTCCTACCAGCAGTAAGAACAATAAAACAAAACAGTATTGAGCATCAGACTTTATTACCTAAATTAGAAATCGTACAGTCAGTTTATCGTACAACTAGTGTAATATTTAGAACTTTTATTGCCATTACATTTAATATTTACAAAACAGACCACCGATTACAATACGATCGTTACCCTAAAACATATGTCGTCATTAAAAAATGTGGATCCAAAATGTATGTTTTTTTTTTGTTTTTTTTTCTGTTTTTTTTTTTCAGGAACATAAATTAGCACTTGTCTGCGTGTGTGTGTGTGTGTGTGTGTGTGTGTGTGTGTGTGTGTGTGTGTAACGCGAATGCTAAACATTTAAATGGTGCCGGTGTCTTTAAACTTGGTTAAACTTTACCCGATATGTGTGTGTATGTGTTTGTGTTTTAGGACGATTGTTGCCCAGTTTCTGATTGATCGCAATCGACACGATCAGAATTACAGTTTAAACTCTGACTTATTAACACATTGTACGCCTTACGATCCACCAGTGGGCCTAGCGTTACTATAGGTATCATTCGGGCCAAGCCAAAATCAGGGAATCAGTAATTTTTATCAACTTGAGATTCTCGTTCTAAAATGTTTAAAATGCGTTAATTTTTGCACGGAAGATAAAAATTAGCGAATTTTACCGTCTAGTTAACCCTTTTACTGCCACGAGGGTCCCTACGTGGCGCATGACGCGTTGAAGTAATTATGTCGATTTCTTTTCCTAAGACCCGGAAATAACTAGCAAACTCTGAGAAAGACGAATCCGAAGATACTGAGAGTGAATCTATTTCTAAAAGACTAAATACTTAATAAATAAATAAAATAAATGAAATCTATATCTATACTAATATTATAAAGAGGAAAGATTTGTTTGTTTGTTTGTTTCGAATAGGCTCCGAAACTACTGGACCGATTTGAAAAATTCTTTTTCCATTAGAAGCCGACATTGTCCCTGATGAACATAGGCTACTTTTTTTTATTTTTTTTTTTTATTTTTTTTTTTGCTTTCATGTGTGTTTTAATGTTTCCGAAGCGAAGCGAGGGCGGGTTGCTAGTCTTAGTTATATAATTATTGCTGTCGATTGCTGACATCTGCCATGAACTTTTGTCAATTTGTCAATTTTTTGTATTGATGATCACTTTGTTGGTGCAACTTAATCTATACTCAATATTATAAAGCTAAAGAGTTTGTTTGTTTGAATGCGCTAATCTCAGGAACAACTGGTCCAATTATATAACATCACGCTAAGACCAATACAAGAGGAGCATCAATAAAGAATGTTGCAAAATCGTTTTTTTTTCCCCTTTTGAGAGCTTCCGCTGCCTGTACTGTAGAAACGGTTAAAGTTTCGCTAAAATAATGTACGACAGAATTGTTCCCCTTTAAAAGGTCTAAAAAAAGTCTGCGACAGCATACGTCTATATGTTATGGTTGGCTCACTATAACCTTTTTTATGCTAACCAAATTTGTTCTAAAATAAAGCATTATTTGTGAACTATTCCACGCGGACAAAGTCGCGGGCAAAAGCTAGTAAATAAATAAAACATACATTGAAAACGAAAGAAGTCAAAGTTGAACAATCCAGGCGCTTAATAACAGAAATCGACATAATTACTTCACTGCGCCGCGTAGGGCACCGGTGACCTACACGGCAGTCAAAGGGTTAAAAGGCTCACGAGTGACGCTCATGGCCCGAATGGTTTAGTAAGATAAGGATCACCGGTGAGCTTCGTTGCCTAAATCAAAATACTCGATTATTCATATTATGGCGTTCAACGTGTTAATTTCGTTTATAATTATAACATATTTCCGACGTTTTGAATACTTTAATAATAGTTTTAAAATAAATAGTAAACAATTTTAATAACGAATGCGTTTTGTGTAAATTGTCGGTTGTTGTACATTTGCCTTTGCAAGCAACCCCGCCCCCCAACACCCCCTACCCCCCATCGATAAAGTGCGTTCCTTTACTACAGTAGATTGGGAGGAATAGGGACTAGAGTTACAATAGGGACAAATCTGGGATCAGTCATTGAGCTGAAAATGATTTCTATTTAGTGTTTAAGAATATTAAATAGTTTACTTTAGTCATCAAAGTTTTGTAACTCATTAAAGATATTAAAAAATTAATTACATACCTAAAGTGAGGTATCTACCTCACAACTAAATAGTGCCAGCCCTATCGAAAAACTTGTCCCCATACGCAACCTGATTCACCCCAGAACCAAGGTGAATCGGGTCAAGGTATTTTTTTCAGTTTTTGTGTTTATTTTGTAATGAACTATGTATAATAATGCATTGTATATTAAAATGTAACCCTACGGAACCATTTAAATCTCAATTTTATTGGTATTACCTTAAGAAAAACCATTGAAAATTTGTAGTGGATTTGGAAATTCACCTCAATCTACGGTACCACTGCTCTCATCGGCCGTTGGCTCACTGTGTGAAGTCACAGTCCGACCAGAGAGCAAATGACCCACGAACTGTGAAGGATGGAGTTCACCTTAACCGACTTCCAAAATATGTTTCTGATTTAGACAAAGTGACTTTTTTTGTTTAACTTTGTATCTCCAAGCGGACGATGTCTCGGCCCGCTGTTGGAGTCCATAGGCATCGCAACAATTGCCGTCACAGTTGAGACGTCAATCTTAGCTTGGTGGGTTTTCAGTGCTCCGCGGCAGAAATGGGGGGGGGGGGTTAGAACAACAACGCATTTGTCTCTTTCGGATATTTATAAATCAATTTTATAATTTTCTGGTAACGTATTATATCTAAATTTTATTTAGAGGTTTTCTGTCAATCGTCTTTACAGTCCAGTTTCTAGTCATTGTGATATTGCCCGTGGGCTTCACCAACCACGCGGCTATGAGTGCTCTAAGGTTTAATTAACTGGATGCATTCAAATTTATTTACAAGATACTACGAGTCTGATTGTATCGTAACTATAGTTTCGATAATGATATGGCAGTGACTTTAAATAAAAAATAATATTATATATAATAATAATAATATATAATATGTATGTATATATATATTTACAACACGTCGTAAGAGTAGTATTTTTTTTATTTATTTAATTATTAATCTATTTTAGAATTTCCGCTTTTTTTTTGAATATTTTTTTTTAGGTTTTAGTTTTTTTTTTTTTACTCGTGTACTATAAAGTTTTATAGAAGTGGTTTTTTTTTGAGTTAAGAGTTTGGTCCGAATAGAGTTGGATGTGACAAAGTGATTTGAGCCGTGTGCGGTGTAAGAGGACCACTCCCGAAGCAGGATGGGACGCGAGATCGTCACCAACGGAATAAAAAAATCAATATAATAATACCCTAAGTTTGTATCTCCTCAACCCGTAATGGTAAACGCAAGCGGCGGACGCCCCCCGCGACACAACAGGTCATTGACCTCGGCTAACATGTATTTGCTTTACATTGCGTGTAAATAAAAAATATTGCAAAATTACTTAGTCGTCACGTTTTTTTTTTTTTAAATAATTGTACTACTAAATGTACTCGCAAATATAAGACTGCTAAATTCACAGTTTAGAGACAGTAATGGCATGTTCATCTAATAGATACATATTATAGATATAGATAAAGTTGACCAAAAGAAAAATATGACGATTTGAAGTTTTTTTGTTTCACTACTCATTGTGGCGTGCGGTTACTTTGAGTACAGAAAATGGCAATAAAATTTTTTTTGGAAACAAATCATGGTCGGCTAAAGACCCATTAAAGAACTGAATGACACGACTTCCAGAGACCAGACCGACTGTCCAGTCGGTGCCTCGGTACTCTGATGTTAGAGAAGGCCCAGAGACTTGAGATACCCGACTTTAAAAACAAAGGTGTTCTGCATTTGAACGTTTCGTGTCTCTGTTGTTGTCAAACGGTTAGATCTATATATTACTTGTGTTACGTTAAACTAAAAATAATACAGTCGTTTGAAGATCATTAGGTGTTTTCCAACGCAGGGATTTATCGTAATTTTTTTTCATTGCCCTTGTAGGCAGACGGGCATACGGCCCACTTTATGGTGAATGGTTACCGTCGCCCATGGACTTCAGCAATGCCAGGGGCAGAGCCAAGCCGCTGCCTACAAAATACACAGTAGCTGCTCGTTAATACCGAAATTAAATAATTATTGCTAAAGTGAAGGTAGCTGCGTACGTCAGACGAGCCGACGGTAAGTTGAACTCGCAGGTTAGCTAACATTTTGTCATCCATTGCGTGCTCCTCAAAAGTCTTTTATTAATACCATTTCGTGATCGCTATCTTATTTAATCGCATCAGGAGTAAGCCCGCAGCAGCTGTCTGCGACGCCGCCCAGGGTCCGCTGGGAGTGCCCCGAGTAGTAGCCGTGGTTGTGGCTCCGTTCACTTGTCCTCGAGCAGCTCCAGGTCCTCGGCGACCACGTCTGACACATGGAGGTACACGATCCAGTAGACCAGGTTGAAGCAGACGAAGCACACCGGGAACACGATCCTCGAATATTTGTCGATGTCCGAGGGCGTCATGCCGAGGAATTTTCCAATGTCCTGGAACATGACAAGATTTCTGAACCTCTTGTGGACTTGATGTGGGGAGACGCAATGAAATACTTTAAAATACACGTAATTTAGACAATACTGGTCGGCCGTCATCTCAACATTCACTCCTTTTTCTCTCATATCGTCATTCACACACTCCATCCATGTCTTCCTCGGTCGACCCCCTTTACCTTGCACTACCATTTCCATGCATCTCCTAGTCACATGCATCTCCTCTCTACGCATCACATGTCAATACCACGCTAACCGTCCGCTCTTCAATTTTTTAATTACCGGGGCTACTTTCACGCTTCCTCTGATATACTCATTCCTTATCTTCTCCATCACATTGTCCTTCGCATCTTTGCCGCGTGCACTCCTCTTTCATGCTTTGCTTTCGTCAGCCAACATTCAGATCCATACAAATCTATCCAATGTTTATAACATTTAGCTCTTCTCAATGTGTCCCCGCGTGCCCCAGGTTGAGATTCGCTGGCTAGTCCAAAAAAAAAAAATCTATTCTGTTCACAAATGAGTTTACCCAAATAATAATATTGAAGTAGTATATATATGTATATAAGCAGCATCAATCGCGTTTGAATGCCAATCGTGTGTCAGGAGAAGACTTGGTCGCCCTGTACATACGACGCACCGCTGAGATGAGAACTGCTGTGTGACCTGGAGTGATATCAAGGAGCCAGCGCATGACAGAGTCAAGTGGAGACCTGTGAGGGTCCTATGCACCAGCGGGGTACCCTAGGACAGCAAGCAATTTCGTAACTAGGTTCTGTGTTCTGATTAACGGTTTATAGGTAAAGTTAATTGTGAATATCAGAGCAGTGGGTGTGGGTACCTTCCCCGGGTGCAGGGGGTGCATGACGGGCCCCGCCGCGTCCCCCTCGATGTTCATCCTGCTCCTGCTGATCGTGTTCTCAAGCGTGCCGCCCTTAGAGTGCGCTTTCGGATCTCGGACCTTGTAGCGAACTTCCTGCGACTGAAAGGTATATAATGATATTCTAAGTGTTATGTTTTTTTTTGTTTTTTTTTTATTGCTGAGATTGGTGGACGAGCTCACGGCCCACCTAGTGTTAAGTGACTACCGGAGCCCATGGACATCAACAACAAAACTTGAGACATGAGTTCTAAGTCTCAGTTTTACAGGGCAACGGCTACCCCACCTTTCAAGCCTCACAACACGGTTTGCTGGCTTTTGGATGTATTCCATTGCGTGCTCTGGCCGCTTTTAAACCTTACGCAGGTCAAATGCGGAGCGATTGCTTTTGGATGTATTGCATTGCGTGCTCTAGAAAAGAAAATAGTAGGAAACTGCGTGAAGCTACGTAATTTAAGACTACTTACACTTCTACTCACGGAAGCTCTGCTACCAGGAGGGTATCGGTTTAAGGAGCTCATTTTAGCGAGCGTGTGCGGGTCCCACGGCGGGGGACACTCCGTGGGCATCTTCTTCTCGGCCATAATCTTTTGTATGGTAATGAACCGTTGCTTGCGCATCTGTATCCTCTTCGACATGTAGCCAACTGTCGCGTATTCTGGAATACAGTTCATATTGCTTTCAGTACCAGCGGTTACCTTTCGTGAACCAGTTTCCGCAGTATTTGAATGCTAACCAATAACTGAGCATGATTAGGTTTCGTGGTAGCTGCTTGGCTGTACCTGATTCATTGCTGATGCTCCTCGGCGACAACGACCACTCTTCATTACTTCATAAGACGGGCCGTACAGAGGTGTAAGTGGTTTGTCCGATTACTTCTAAACTTACCAAGCAAGCTCGTAAAAACCATGACGAAGCAGGTCCCGAGGTACACGTCTATAGACTTGACGTATGATATCTTCGGCAGAGCGGCGTTGGTCGATGACATGAGCGTTGTCATCGTCAGCACGGTGGTGACCCCGAGCTGCACGCGGGCCGGGGTCGCGTTCCGGTTCAGCCAGAACGAGACCCACGATATGATCACGATCAGACCCGAAGGTATGTAGATCTGGATGAGGTAGTACCCCATCGAGCGTACGAACTGTATTTCGCATGCCAGCCTTGAGTAATTCCCTGTAACGGTACGCGGTGTGGGTACTTCGTGTGGCTTTCATCACGAATGACTCCAAGCACTGGTATAAAGGCGACAACTAAAACACTAATAAAACCTTCAAACGGAGTGGAATTCCTTCGAAATTTATTGTTTATGGGTCAGCAATCAAATTAGTCCCAATTTATAAATCTGAGTAAGCGCTTACGTCAATAAACAACAACAAAGGCGCGGTCAGACTGTGCGCGGCCGCGCGCCGCCCTGCTCCTTCGTGAGAGTTGTTTATGTCAAAGCAAAATGAGTTAATACATCTATGACTACTAGCTACAACAGTACACGACAAGTTACAGTCCGCCGGAGCCGCGTGGTACCTGGCATGGGACGGGACTCACCGCGCGCAGTCTGGGCGCACTCCGAACCTTTACACAGGGAGGGCTGCTACTTCTCTGGAAATAAACAAATCGTAGCTCTCTAAGAAGAACGTGAAGACAGCCGGCGAACCTGTTGTGAGCGAGATCTCCATGGCGCGCTGACGGTGTCCGAGCACCTTGAACTGCGGCAGCGACACTTCCTTGGAGACGCCCACCGAGTTGGGTCCCTCGTTCCACTTGTAGCGGATGTCGCGCATCGTGTAGCCGACTGTGTGCGCACCACATAGAGTGTGAGTGAATCGGCCCCGGACCCGTCGCGTTGGGTTTTGCGTGTCGTCGAGGGAGGTTGTGGGGCGCGGGCGCGGGCGCGGGCGGAGGAGGCGGCGCGTTACCTGTGCTCAGCGTCACGACCGTGGCGCGCTGGCGGTGCCCGAGCACGCGGAACTGCGGGAGCTGGACCTCGCTGCTCATGCCGACGCTCGACGCGCCGTCCTTCCAAACGTACACTATGTCCCTCATCGTGTACCCGACTTCGGTGACATGCCAACACACACAAAACTCTATCACTTACGGTACGCCGCGCCGGGAGATTCGCGCGCGAGCCGAACCGACCGCTCGGCTCGGCTCGTCGCCCCGGATGATAGAAAAATACAAATGAGATAATGAGGCGCAAGATGAGGTCGAACCGGTGCTGCGAGTGACGGGAGCACTGAGGAGGTCGGTGGACTACGATGCGAGGGTGAGAGCTGTGGTGGGGGTGAGTGGTGCGATGAGTCAAGCGGTGCGGGTGTACATGCGAGAGGGCCGCCTCCTCCGACCCGCGGCGTCGATGTCCCGGTATCAGTTGTCGCTCGCGGCCGCGCGCCCTATCGCTACGTCGTCGATACTCAACACATGTGAACGCGCCTTATCGAGGGCGCGGCCGAGTGTACGCGTGTGTCGCTTGCGGTGTCCCGAGTGCCGTCTGTGTTACGGAGGGTGTCACGACACATTCTAAGCCCAGTGAGGTTGCGCTGTGGTAAGTATCAACTGAACAGTTGTTTCGGGTGAGCACACACATATTATAACACACATAATATATATTTTTTTGATATTATTTTTCTATCATCTCTGGAAAGATTTTCTCATTCTCGGTTTAAACGTTATTCATTTTAAAATCATTCCGTACTGATCTGTCGATGTAACAAAGAGGCAAATAGATTAACAGTTAAACACACATAAGATGTAAGACATTGTACAAAAGGGGACGGGCGCATGTGTGTGTGTGGATACTCACAGCTTTCAATCTCGATATGGCAAAGCTGCCGGTCCATGGGGAAATACTGCAGGTTCATGGGACACGATGCAGTGATCGTTAATCTGTAACACCATGAGTCAGAGCTTCCGTTTCATAATCCTGTACAAGCCCTTAATCTTACATCTAGTTAGATTTTAATTATTACACCTGAAAAACGTTTTGCTTTCCTGCAGAACTTAACTTTAAGCATTTTGTTTGAAATTTCGACGTCCACAGCTGGCAGACAGCCAGCTACTTGTGCTGCAAGCGGTCTTTTTTCCGGTTTGAGCATTTGGAGGTCTAATACTATCGGTAATTCAACCTTGTATCCCTAGGTGTTGGCACTATTTTTGTGATGTCTTTAGGCTCTTCCTAGGCTCATATGCATGAAATTCTCCTGCATGAAAAGCCGGGATATCAAAAAGATCGATGCCTTTGAAATGTGGGTGTGGCGGAGGATGCTACGAATACCATGGATTGCCATGAGAACAAATGAGTCCATTCTAAGGCAGCTAGACATCCGAAAAAGGCTCTCTTCCATCTGCCGGGAACGTGTTATGAGCTTCTTCGGACACATCATGCGGTCTTCCAGACATGAATTAGAGAAGCTCATAATTGCGGGTCGCATATAGGGTAAGCGTGCCGTGGGCAGAACACCAGCCAAATGGTCAGATCTAGCAAAAGACGCACTTGGTGATAGTCTGTACCATGCAGTCCATGCCACCGATGATCGAGCACAGTGGAAGAACTTCACATGTGGTCGCGATCCTCAGTAGTGAGGAAACGATATAGAAGAAGGCTCCTAGGCTCCTAGCCTCTTTAGGCTTAACACCTGGTGGAACGTGTTGCCTAGCACTTGGAACTACCGCCGTCTTGAAGTGATCGTGTGTACCAAAGTAATTGATGCCTTAATCTTATGTCCTCAGAACAGCAGCGGCATTTCCTTTGTGTGACCTTGGGCTCCAGTAACAGCTTAACATCAGATATCGCGTGTTCGTCTGGCTGTCTTGATTACCTGTAAAACATTCAAAGCGAACGATAAATAAATTAAATTCACACCTAATACTTCTTGTTATCGAGCCGGAGTGGTGAATCCTAATAAATTCGTTGCTTGTTGTTGCTATGTGGAAATACGATTGCTTTTCGTTGACAAAGAACGTGTCCGGTACCCAGATGTTCTTGATGAACTCCGAGCCCACGGACAGGGTTTCCACGCCTGGTCGCTTCTTGTAGGCCAGTCGCGGATCTGTCCAGAACTGTCTGAAGTAGAAGTCCAGAGTGAAGTCCTGATAAAAGAGGCCATAGCATTCAATATAATGGCAATAGTAATTTAAAAGTAACTTAGATGTGATTTAAGTGAATAATCTATGATTAAGTTTTGGAATTTATTAGAAAATTGGTTTTTCTTTTTGTTTCACACTGGATTTTGTTAGACAAAATTTCTGGTCCAAGAGGAAGGTCTAGTTATGAAAAAACGCCTCTATCAGGAAAAATAGGGAATAATTTGTGACCGGAATTTGTGATAGGTATAACACAGGAAGCTTCCACAGAAATTTCTGCAATCATCTCGCAAATTGCTACAAACCCTTATCGAAAGGTTAAAGGGTAGCTAGCATAAGTGTCACTCTAATGCACTTTGGACTTTAATCTCGTGTCTAAAGATTTTACGTGGATAGGCCTAGGTGAATGCTGAATTGGCAAAAAATGTGTCTGCATATTTACGGTATTCTTTTTTCCCTACCTATTCTAGTAACCTAGAGGGGTTATTCTAGATTCACAGAACGAGTAGGTAAGCTAGCGGGGTTCTAGTCTGACGACGTGACTATCAGTAGCTTTAACAAGAGCAGTGCTTCGCCGAATCTACCACCGGATCGGAAATGCGACCCACTGAGAAAATCCGGCGAGAAACTCAGAGGAATGTGTCGGTGGGTTAATTTACTCGCCGAGCCCTTTGTCGCAAGCGATGGGTTCGACGAGAACGATGGCCGGTGCTTGAGGTACCTAAAAGCACTGTTAGTGGATCAGGAGGATCCAAAATACAGTCTTCAGTGTTTCGTGATCGCTACGATGCTGCTTACTTCAAAGGACACGCTTCGAACGACCATTAAAATGATTGGCGGTGGTATTCAGAGTTTTATGACCCCCGAGACTGGGACCTGTCACTTTTCGCGACAGTGGACAGTTTCTTACTGGTGGTAGGACCTCTTGTGAATCCGCACAGGTAGGTACCACCACCCCTGTTTCTGCCGGGAAGCAGTAATAAGTTTCGGTTTGATGGGAGGGGCAGCCGTTGTGACTATACTAAGACCTTAGAACTCATATCTCAAGGTGGGTGGCGCATTTACGTTATGGATGTCTATGGGCTTCGGTAACCACTTAACACCAGGTGCGCTGTGAGCTCGTCCACCCATTCTATGCAATAAAATAAATAAAAGTGAAATCAAATACAAATTCTTAGTCTTCTTTTAGTTAATTACTAGATCAAAAATTTTGCTTCGTGATGCAATAAAACAGTTTCTAATAAAACAAAATGCAGAACTAAGGCGTGATTTTTTTTTTGAAAACAAAGCAGTGTTTATTTCGTTTCATTTTAAAAAGCTTCGCATATTGGTGGATTACGTTGATTCGTTGTTACACCATTACACTATTGTGCTGCTTGAACTCTATAGATATACCAAACCAAACGGTTAAGTTAAGCAAATTCGACAATTTCCAAAGCATAGTTAGTTTTCGTGGATACGTCCTGTGCACGTATTCTTTTTTTTCTTTTTTTAATATATAAATATAAATATAAATATTTTCTAACAATCACGCCACGTTAACTGGTCCCGTGATAAGTTCGTAAAGAACTTGTGTTACAGGCACCAGATAACGGAAATAAATGTAAGTTTTTTATTATACACATACATATATTTAATATACATCCATAAACCTGGAAAAGACATTTATATTTATCATACAAATATCTTCCCTTGGCGGGATTCGAACCCGCGACCCCCTTGTGTAGTGACCATGTCACTTACCACTACACCAAGCGGCCGTTTAATATTATTAGCGGCGGTTTATTAGTGGCTTTGGCCCACTGAGTTTCTCGGTGGATCTTCTCAGTGGGTCGCGTTTCCGATCCGGTGGTAGATTCTGCGAGGCACTGCTCTTGCTAGGGCCACTGTTAGTAACACTTCCGGTTTGAGCCCCGTGAGCTCATCTACATGTTAAGGTGAAGCTGAAATAGCCTCTCAAGGCTATCAGCATTGGTAGGGAAAAAAAACGTTGCTTTACACCAGGTATTACGAAACTGTATGGGCTAGAGACCCCTCTTCTAAAATGAAGTGATATCTCAGACGCTTATAGCCACTATAAAAATTGTCTATCTCTATTGTTTTTCTTATTGACACAAAATTAATATCAATTTTAAAACTTTGGAGTTATTAAATTTTTCGCGGCGCTAGTAAATTGTCTTGGCACATTGCTCGTGGTACAATACCAGTGATTTATCGTTATGCAGCGGCTTGGATATAAACCTGGTATTGCTGATGTCCATGGGCGACACCGATCAATTACCGTCCGGTAGGCGGTATTATCGTCTGCCTACGGTGACACTACAGAAATTTCAATTTGAGAAGGAGGGATTTGATTTATTAAAAGTATAACCCTGCTTACTTTGAAATGTTAGCAATTTTTTTTTGTGGCTTATATGGGTGAACTAGCCCACAGCCCACCTGGTGTTAAGTGGTTACTGGAGACCAAATACATCTGTGACGTAAATGCGGCACCCACCTTGCGGCACCTTGAGATATAAGTTCTGAGGTCTCAGTATAGTTACTTTACAACGGCTGCCCCGCCCTTCAAACCGAAACGCATTACTGCTTCACGTCAGAAATAGGCAGGGTGGTGGTACCTACCCGCGCGGACTCACAAGAGGTCCTACCACTAGTAATTATCTAGCGTAAGAATTAGTGATTTTATTGATACAGATATATGTTAGTGTATATGTATATATATATGCAAATATAAATACGAACTGATGACGGTAGGGCATTTTGAGATCTCTAAATTAATTCTACATACTGAAATTCATGCTACAAACTTCAATTCTTAAATACGTGTATTATTCATGTGTAAATAATTAAATTAATTTAATTACAAACTAAAAATTAAATTAATTCAGCTGTAGTCTTTATTAAATTTAATTAAAAAAATAAATTAATTCAGTTATAAGTCTCTATGAAATTACATAAATAATTCAAAATTAACATAATATAACCCTTTAACTTCACGAATACAAATAAAATGTTTAGTTTCTAAACTCAGAAGTAATCTTTCTTTGGAAGTCGAGGGTGACGCGAAATACGAAAAGCATCATTATTTGATAATAACGAAAAGTATATTTTCCTCCGGCTAGCCGTTGCGCTTGTGACATTTTAGTTTTGACGAAATTAATTGAAGTGACCATTAATTATAATTAACCCTTCAGCTTTTAATTTACCTTAGAAATTGTCCGTATAATTTCGGTGTTCAGTAGACTGTTTTTACTGGTGGGAGGACCTCTTGTGAGTCCGCGCGGGTAGGTACCACCTATTTCTACCTGCCTATTTCTGCCGTGAAGCAGTAATGCGTTTCGGTTTGACGGGCGGGGCACCCGTTGTAACTTTATTGAGACCTTAGAACTCCTATCTTAAGGTATTTACGTTGTAGATGTTTATGGGCTCTGGTAACCGCTTAACACCAGGTGGGCTGTGAGCTCCTCCACCGAGGTATGTAATAAAAAAAAAGACCTCTTTCGCCATTAGACCAAGGAATCCCAAAAGTCATAAATCCATGTTCCAGCCGCGCTATACGCAGTCACGAAACGGCAATTTGAGCGGCGAGGTCAACTAATATCGATACGGATTGCACGAAAGCTGTTATATGAACCACAAGCCGATTTAGATGCTTATAAAATGTTTGAAACTATGAAGCTTTTGCGCAGGCACGTCTTAAACTAGGATGGGGCCCTTGGGCACACAAGAATTTGAGGCCCTTTTGGAAAGTAAAAAAAGCTAATTATAATAACATTTTTTTACTGAGTTTGAGACCATTTATTATAGGTAATCAAATACAGTATGATAAAATATGTCAATGATATTAGAATGCTGCTGGTTTTTTGGTTACGTTTTCGATAAAGGTTTCTTTCGGGATTTCTGTTGAGCGAAATCTTCTATTATAGTCATAGTATATGCCTCGTAAATACCTTCTGATTACTGATTTGTGAAAAAGTATACTGTGCCCGACATAAAATGTTTTGAGAATAAACGTGTGAGAGAAATTGTCGGTCTTTCGGGGCCCCTTGAGAATAGGGGCCCTGGGCACGGGCCCCGTGTGCCCTTATGGTAAAGACGGTATTGCTTTTGCGTATCCGTTTGTTTAATGGTAAACTACACTGAAGTTTTTTCATTTGATGAACGAAGCCCATGGACTATAAGAATGTGGACGCCGTCACCTATCTTGAGACATGAGGTCGAAGACTCAAATGTATCACAGCCCATTAATCAAAGGCACGATTGCTTCGCGCCATGAATAGTCAGTATCTATCATCTGCCAGTATAGTACGCGTGTACTAGTTGCTGTGTTTTTTTATTGTTTAGATGGGTGGACGAGCTCTCAGCCCACCTGGTGTTAAGTGGTTACTGGAGCCCATAGACATATATAAATTAAATGCGGCACCCACCTTGAGATATACGTTCTAAGGTCTCAAGTATAGTTACAACGGCTGCCCCACCCTTCAAATCGAAACGCATTACTGCTTCACGGCTGAAATAGGCAGGGTGGTGGTACCCGTGCGGACTCACAAGAGGTCTTACCACCAGTAAATGGTATATAAGTATTATTTCAATACCACTATTTCAATTTACATACAACTATAATACATAACTAGGTAAGTATGTGCACGCTTACCACTAATTATTTTACTAGAATTACTAAAAATAATTCTTTTAATTTGGTGAAGAATTCGTTTTTCAAATTACAGAACGTGAGATACCTTATTTTAAACATACCTTATTTATCTACACGGATTCAACTGTTAAAATCAGTGCAATACATACTAATTCGACTTTTTTTCGTGATTCATACTATTAGCGGATACAAAGAAAAAATTGTGAACATTATCTGTCAACTGATTGTTAAACTGTTATAAAAAAGTTACCATCAATCAATAAAAATATAATAAAAAAATATTTTTTTAATTCTGAATTTCATTTACTACCACAACACAGAAGTGCAATAAGCAAACATGCTCACAACCAATAGTCATTTGGTTGCTCTAGCAGGAATATCACTGCATGTCAATCTGCGGAGGATAGCAGCCAGCTCCTTCTACCTACTGTAATAAACAACAATTTATGTCAACACTGTCATTAAAATACGCGCCAATTTAAAAAAAATGTTGCCAGAATTTTGCATTTGCTTTTAAATGAGGAGAAGTTCGTATTCGGTTTTCATCGCAAATAATTTTGACATAATCTCGAAATGATTACACTTTAAACAACAAAAGGTTATCTGGTATGTTTGATATTGATCAACTTTTAGCTTCGACACAACTAATTGAAAAATTGTCGCGTATTTCAACGGCGATTTAAGGCATAAACACGGTATTGTACCATGAGGACTTCAGACACGGAGCTGATGGACAGGACGTACATGGTGACGCCGACTTCCACGGGGGGACCTGGAACAAGCCTGCAGGTCAAGCAACACGTGAAACTGTGCAGGACGGATAGTACTTTTCTCTCATTTTATAACCTAATGCTATGCAATAAAACAATAGTTTTTCCTCAAACGTAGATTTTAGTATTTATTAACGGAATATAGAGAAAAGTACCAAGAAAAACGTGTCATGTTGTGAACACACACAACAGCGAGTGGATTTGAGTAAGTGCGTGTATGGAAGTGCTAATACATAGTATCTTAAACGTGTTATCGGATATGATATGACGTCATTTCATAATACCATGTGTACTTCGGACAGTGAGCTGATCGACAGCACGTACATCGTGATTCCGACTTCGACTGGTGGTCCTGGAAACCACAGAACTGTACGAAAATAAAATAAAAATAAATTTGAATACAGTACTAACTTGACGTATATTAAATTGTACAGTGTACTAATAGGAATTATAACTTTTTAATGTTTGAATTTTCGAGCAGCCACGGATCCCTTATAAATCCTAGCTACAAGGGCCAAGCGAAAAAATATCTTGATTTTGGATATGAAATTAATCAAAAACTTAGAGGAATTTTGTATAATTGTGTAGTAAGTAGTCCCAGCTTTTACATTGATCAATTGAGTTGAATATTGTGCACAGTATTAAAAAGAAGAAAACTAGTCTAGTGTACCTACAGCCGCGTGGTTGAGCTGATTACAAATTCATTTAATACTTGGACCCATATTAAGACTGTCGTTTCATTTGGGTCTACTTCAATGTACCAGTATTATTAATGATTTTTTATGTTTTGCTTAAACTGCTCTAAAGAAATATTCGAAATTATCAAAGTATACCATCTGCCATTTCCAAGAAGCTCATCCATTTTATTTAGAGCAGCACTCGTCTATGTTGAATGGTAGATTTTTTCTAAATCTCCTTTAAAATCATAGAATGAATTATTTTCTTCAAGGATTCGATGAGGTAATGAAGAATATTGTCTGTCAGACTAACAGATTAAAATATTGAATGGTAGCAGGTGGTGAATTGCCACCGCCCATGCCATTGTTCATTACCTTTCAGTGATCTCTATATATAAAAATGAATTGCTCTTAGTTAGTCTGGCTAAAACTCGAAAACGACTGGACCGATTTGGCCAATTTTGGTCTTGAATTATTTGTGGAAGTCCAGAAAAGGTTTAAAAGGTAGATAAATATGAAAATCGGACGTCGGACGGATTCCTTTTATTTATTTTAAGTGTATTTTATACAAAAGTTTAGGGCTTTTATTTATCGATTGAGGCACTACGAAGTCTGCCGGGTCAGCTAGTCATTAAATAAAATGTTACTGTAAAAGAGTCAACCAAAAAAGTATGTAAATACTCTGTTTAGTTGGTAACGAAATATACTGTTTTAGTAACATGAATTTAAAGTATAAAGTAAATTCCACAAATTACATATTATCGTGAATTCAAGAAGCTTGCTAAAGCTTTCAAATTTACTATTTGTTTTTGAATTTAACTAGTATTATGAGATTGTATGAAAGCATTACACACTAATATTAATGGCATGTTTTTCCAAAGTCACGTTGTAAATGTATTTTATAACAATTAAATTTGATGAAACTTGTTTTAAATACCTCGGTAATTACGTTAGGCTTACCTCCATAGTTTGGTCTTACTCGCTTATCATAGCTGATGCTGAACGAATCCAAGATAGCTGATATATTGACATCACCGAACATTCCACCTCCACCGCCGCCGCTGCGAAATTAATATAGTTCCGTTCTATTGAAAATAATTATTTTTACAAAACAATACTATAAAACAATACTATACCAAGGACTGAATGAGTACAGAAATAGCTTATGATAGAATAAATAAGTCCAAAGACTTCGTATCATATTTTTTTCAAACAAATGATATTAGATCAATACGTTTTTACAAGAATCAACAGTGTTGGGTCATGAATGTATTTTAGGCCACGTTATATGAAAACCTTGAGTAACTGAAAACTAATTTACTTAAGTACATTTTAAAAATTTTGGGCGCTTTCCTCGTACAGGTCGCCTTTTAAGTTTACGTGAGCTTTTCAATCCGTAATTTTGAACGCATATTTAATGAGATGCAAGGCACTCTGTAGTTTCAAGTATCCTGCGGAAAATGAAAGCTTCAAACGATCGAAATATTACTTAATTTTTAGGTTTAATCATTTTAAATAAAATTGTGCATTTAAATATATTTTAAAATGCCATTTCTTTTAAAACTTGGCGTCGCTCGGTGGAGCAGGAGCTAGGGGTCTTGGGCATGACGTGGGAGGAGCTAGAACAGACTGCCCAAGACCGATACAAATGGAAAAATTTTGTTCGAGCCCTACACCCCAGCAGAGGGTAATAGGAAAGCATGATGATGATGATTTCTTTTAAAATACTTTTATAATAAAAATTAAATTAAAATAACGAGTCCTTTGTACTTTGAGGTGCATGTGTTTTATGAGTCATTTTAGATTTTTATAAATAGCTGCTTTAGATATAACACTAACAAAGCTATTTTTTTTAATTGGACAACCCGTTGCAACGTGCTTTATCAATTAAAATACACTGTGTAAAATAAAGTAATAACTATAATTACGTTTAGCGTTTAATTATTTTTATAGAGAAAAAAAAATTGCTTTGGCTCGAAGAAACGATAGGGCTATTATTACTGTTGAGCTTTGCATATATAATAAGGTGTTTTTTTTTTCTAAGTAAGCTGATAGCTTTGAGAGGCTATTTCAGCGTAAACTTAACTAGTACGTAAGCTCACAGGACTCAAACTAGTGATGCTAACACTGACCCTAGCAAGAGCAGTGCTTCGCAGAATCTACCACCGGATCGGAAACGCGACCCACTGAGAAGATCCGGCGAGAAACTCAGTGGGCTATATATAATAAGGCTTGATTATTAAAGAAATGGTAACTAACGCGACACGATTGGCCTGCGGCAAGAAGGTGGCGGCAAGCGCGAGGAGAAGCGCGGCGTGACGCACGGCGCTCATGTCCCGGCGGCGCCGCGGCTCCGTGTGCTAGCCCTGACCCGCGTCGCGATCGATCGCGCCCCTCCCGCGACACGTGCCCGCCTATACTAATACATAACTACACCCTTCACTTCGACATCACTGCGCTGACCACCTTCGATGATACACTAAAATCACCAATCGTCTTGTATTTTTTAAGTCAAATTCATAGACGCACATATTCATGAGGACATGCCGTAAAGTTTAAACGAATCTAGACTAATAGTTTACGAGCAGAGTCGTCTTTCTATTTCAAGCTCTCGCTAGTTACTAAGTTCAGTTACGGTTGTCAACCCTCCAGCCTACTACCCTTGCAAAACCTGAATGGTGGCTATTAACGTATCGTTACACTGCGCCTTATGAAATATTTCAATCGAAGCCTAGTAAGCTTTTGATAGATGGCGCTGTTGAACCCAAACTTGTATTGAAAGTGTCAAGCATGTTAGGCATATATTTTCTCAAAATCAAAATTTGTTTTTGTGAATAAAATTTATCTTATTATCCCGAATTTGAAAATGAAAACAAAATTGATTTTGATTGACTTGGATAATAGGTAAAAAGGAATCAAATTCTGACTATTTCAACTTTAACTTTCACATCAACATTTAAAATTATAAATTTTAAAATTTCATTACGAATCGTTACCTATCGATTTAAAACTTCCGATTTGGTTATGTACCTATCTCTAAAATAGATATCGATTTTCGAAAGTTGCTAGTACTCTATGTATAGTGATAGTCGATTGTCATAAATGTTAGCTAAAGATGTCTATGTGACGTTGCCATTTTATTTTATTTTATTTTAATGTTATTATAATTTGAGGTTCATAGCTATGGTACATTTATTTTGTACTATGTAATTAATAATAAATAATTATAATTAACTAAACAATACCTCTGTTGGTCCTGGCTGAGCCTGTCTTGGTGAAGGTGAAAAGGCGGGAAAGACCTCTGTATAACCCGCAATATTTCCATCCCAAACAATAACCAATATTCCTACTTACTATTTATGTACAGAGCATCACAATCAATGTTATAATATGTATTAGTATAAAATGGTAAAAAGCAGTTTTAGGTCTAAACTCTTTTCAGCGTAGATAATAGTTGATTCATTATCTATTTCGTATTTTTTTGGACTTAGTTACCAGGAATGACCATTTAGCAAAAATATTGTAATATTTTAATATTCAAGATTTTATATTAATAAAAAATTAACAAATTTTACTGTGTTCGGTAATTGCCATTGTGTGCCACTGTGAGCGTATGCTGTGCCATTTTATAGGTAGTGACATAGATCAATTCTTTTTTTTTAGGATTATAATTATAGAGAGTCCGCTTAAAATTCTGGGCAATTTTGGGCCTTGTTCTTTTTCTGAATATTTGTCATGGTAAAACGGAAAAATGGAAATAATTCATTTCATTGAGTGTTTACACACAACAGATAGCTTCAATTAAAAGAAAGAGGCACTTTTACTAATTACTGCCCAAATATTTATTCGTACCGTTGCTGTGTGTAGCAGAAATTAAAAATCCAGAAATTCCTTATAAGGTCAACGTTTACAATGGCTATATCTTTAACTCCAACTGTATTTTTTAAATGGGGAGATCATGTCGTGAAAATTACAAATACATGTATTTGTAATTTATGTATATAATACATATATGTATATAGTACATGTATTTGTAATTTTCACTCATGATTTTGCAACACTAAATTCTGTGTGCCATAAAGTTTTTTTTTTAAGGGATTGTATGACCTGGTAACTAAGACATTTAAGTCATGTCTTATTTAAAGTTTTATTCTTATTTTTATGAAAAATGATAATAGGGAGTGAAATGAAATGAAAGGAAGATGATCAATTTGAGACATTGATCAACTGGGATGAAACTAAAGGGTAAGAGATTTTTTAATTAAAAGTTTTTTAATTATATTATGAAAAATTATATTATGAAATGAAATGAAGCTGATTAGTATGAAACATGACATGAAACGAAATGAGATGAAATGATATATTGGATGAAAAATAAGATCAGTAAAATGGTGGTCATTTACTGAGATTTTTTCAGTGGACTTTTTGGAGGATCCTGAGAAGTTACGTCCAGCGGATTTGTTTAATTTTCCCACATTTGTGCACTTTCACTGATACTAAGCAGTTAATAAACCACCGTTATTACACATTTAAGCTTGAAGAAACATTAAATTTTAATAGACAAAATAAAACAAATCACACAACTTCACTCCTCGCGCTCCCGCCAAAAAGCTGCCATAAAGTTCTGCTTGTCACTTGCACAGATGTCACTTGTGCGTAGACATATCTTGGTAGTCTGTGCCTTGGTTTGTCACTGGCTGTCATTCTGTCAGAAATGCTATTAAGTTTCACGGGCTGTCAAAGAAAATAAAAACAAACGAATCGGGGCGGTGGCGTTGCACCGCAAACCCAAACAATAATTGCTAAGACGAAGAAAGCGTAATGTCCGTAATCTAATTACCGTAGTGAGGTAATACCGCCGATCAAGCGACTACAAAGTCATCACCGGGCAGGTGAGTTTGTTTATTGTGGCCATGTGATTTATATGCGTTGCGGCCTTCGAATTAAAGCCACGTGCTTCAGGTGCTTCGGACTACTGTAATCCAGTTAGTTCGTGATCGCACGCAATCAGTGACTGACAGTGTTTCTTTGCAGGAATACCGCAGCACTTTTCCGAGATGAGACCTCAAGGCGACTACAGGAATGGCGATGGTAAGTCACTAAAATACCACATTATTTTGTTTACATTTTTTTTCGATGCTTTAGATAAAGTATCTTTATTAACCGATGAATAGTTACGGTGAGTTATAACCGTGGGTTGGTATTTGTGTAATTTTATTGAAAGAATCTTTATGTATGCACACAGTTCTGTTTCCATTTACTTATTTGGGCAGCTCTACGTAACTAACTGTCGCGAATTCGTAAGCGAACTGCTATGAATTAGAAGTTAGATTTTTTTTAAATGTAAATTCTGTCAGTATTGGCATAGGAAAAATCCACAAAAAATACAAGTGTTTGATAATAGTGACCAATTAAACAGGTTTTGTTAATATGATTTCATAATAATAATAAAAACATATTATCGAAGCTAATGACTGTTTCTCATTTAAAATGTATTTGGAGTAGTGATACTGCTTTTTTAAACTTTTTCCTTGCATAGTCTATTTGAACATTGACTATAGCCCAGATATCACAGGTTTATACAACTGTTAACATTAATAGGCAGAAAATTATTTTGTCCAAAGTAAAGTAATATTATATCTGGGTAAATTTGACTTGTGGTTTCGCCTGAGGTAAATATACAACTCGAAAAGCATTGAATATGACATTGAATTTTCTTATTACTATGAGTTGATTATGTTACTCGTATGTTCCAATAACGTACAGTAAATGCACTGTCATGCTTATTATGGAAAATATAAATATATAGTTACGCTTTGGTCATATCATTTACTGTGATAAAACGAGTCTAATCTGTTAACATTTTGCATGAAATTACATTTATATTTGTTTAGTCATCATTGAGAGATAATAATGTTAAATTGTTTGAAATCAGCTGAACTGTAACACACAACACAATGTAAGGTAAATAGAAAAATGAACTTTAAGTAATACTATTTCAAAAATGAGAATTGTTTTTCTACTAGATTCTATGAACAAAGCAGCCAGTGTATATTGATTGTTGTGGTTTAGCCAGCAATGAGGTCTGGTAGATAATTTTTTTATAATAAAATAAGCTATCCTCTAATATATGGCTATGATGAACATTATGCCCACATGGTATAATTGGAAATCGAGGAGAGGGAAGATATTTCCAGTACATTGCCGATATTTAATAAAGCATTTTCCAAAATAATTCAAGTTCTCAGAGAATAAGAAATCATGTTAACGGGGAGTTTATTCTGAGCATCTTACGTTACCAGTCTAGCTCAAGTAATATTTAAAATAATCATGTAATAAAATATCAAAACTATATTACTACTAAAGATGTTAAATTGTCGTCTTACTGTGTTTACTCAGCCTTGACTCAGAACTGGTTTTAATTTAAACATATGAAATAAATGAAAAATGCATAAGGGACATTTATATCTGTCAACTTAACATTTCAGATAAAGATTTATTATATATACAATTTTGCTTACCGAGCAACTGTTTTTGACATTATTAACTATGTTATTAATCAGTTTGTTCTATCCTGGGCTTCTTACATTAGCCTCCAGACCTTTTTGTTTATTGAATCACTAGGTTTTGAAACCATATCGACGCTTGAAGGGCAAACATGACTAAGCGACAATAACTGCTTTGGACATAAATGATAGGCAATAACCATATTCGATGCGCAAAAAATATATATTTCTAGGTCTATTAAAGTAATTTCAATCCTACAGCTACTAGCTAGATTCTACTACAGCTAGATTCGTTAAAATAAATTTTGTTTTCAGGTATTTCAACTTTAAATTAGTATACTGTAAAGTTCACGCATTGTCGCTTAGACACGTTTGCCTTTCAAGCGTTGATATGTTTTATGAAAGCATTTTTAAAGATAATTAAGCAAAGAAATATACTTTTTTGTAAAGAACCTCATATTTTGTACGGTTTTAACATTCCTCAGACATTCAATGCCACAGAGAGAAACCACTTTTACAGTTCAATCTTGAGTTTGTCAATTCAATACTTTACAGTTTTCATATGTTTCAGTTTTCATGACTTTCAGTTTTCATGACTGTCAAAGTTCATGTGAGTACCTAATTTTAATAAACTAAAACCTTATATGTTTTTAGCCAATGTTTTCTAGTATCTAAAGTGAATACTGCTGACGGAAGGCAATTTGCAAGACATTTGATCTTGCACATCAAGCAAATTCCATTGTTCCCGTACAATATAAATTGACTATATTTTTTTTTTGTGTAATCATATTGAGAATCAAATACACAATAGCATAGTATTATAAAACAACAAAATAAATGCATGGTAAAGGTATTTTTCAGGAAAGTAACATTTATATAGTCTTAAACCATCTGCTCTGTAGGTTAGATAGTCACATTTAACATACAGAATTATTTTTTTATATTGCCTAGATTATTGGATTAGCTCACGCTCCATATGATAGGTGATTATCGGAACCCATAGACATGAACAACATATTGCTACCCACCTTGAGACACGAGTTCAAAGTCTATTTTTTATTGCCTTTTTATGTAGACGAGCATACGGCCCACCAGGAATAACATCGTGTAATAAAAATCAAACCCGCAAAATTATAATTTGCGGAATTACTGAGGACCTCTTGAGAGTCGCGCGGGTAGGTATCACCACCCTGCCCATTTCTGCCGTGAAGCAGTAATGCGTTTCGGTTTGAAGGGTTAGGACAGCCGTGGTAACTATACTTGAGACCTTAGAACTTATATCTCAAGATGGGTGGCGCATTTACGTTATAGATGTCTATGGGCTCCAGTTACCACAGTTAACACCAGGTGGGCTGGCCAGCTCGTCCACCCATCTAAGCAATAAAAAAAACCTGATGGTGAGTGGTTATCGTCGATCATGGACGTCATCAATGCCACGGACAGAGTCAAGCCGCTGCCTACCGTATCGTTAAAGTACAACGGTTGTCCCAAGCATTCAAACCGAAACGCATTACTGCTTCACGGCAGAACTAAGCAGTGTGGTGGTACCTACTTGTTCAAGAGACACCCTACCACATGCTGTTAAAGTGATTTTCGGAGCCCCTAGATACAATATGTCGCCACTCTCCTTTAGATAAGATCGAAGTATCAAATTTATTATATCATGACTAATTCTGTTTTCAAACTGGAACGCATGATTGATTTCGCGGCAGAAATAGGCAGGGTGGTCGTATCTACCCGTGCGGGCTTACAATACCCCTTACAAGCAGCAGCTAGGCCGATCTTATTGGTATGGCTGGTTAGATTTTTCATTACGCGACGTATTCGTTCACTGTGGAAGTAATAATTTTGGTATAATTGGGCATTTGCATAATCATATCGCTCGGATACTAGTAGCGTCTCATTCGTTAGACCACAGATACTACGTAAATTTTATTTACCCAATCTCGTTGAGCTAAAATACACTAATCGCGTAATGCAAACATTCAATGCCGGTTTTACTGGTTTGTACATGTCACTGTGATAACAATTCGATTTTACGTCGCAATAACAAATCTCTGATAATGCAGCGTTAAGATTTAATCAGAAGACCTGACTGTGCGACCACACCCTTTTTATTACAATGTTATTATTCGCTTCGTTACCCATTCACACGATGCCGGTAACCATTTTATTTCCTCACCTATATTCTACGCTTCGTCTTGAAATCCTTTATGGATTACTGGTGGATATTGTGATGCTCGATGTGATTCAGTCATCATTACCTCGTCTCGTCAGATATATGCCGCGAAACATTCTCTCGTATACAGAATAAAGGTTTTAATCTTGCACTCGTTATTTCTATCAAAATTTCGGGTTACTTTCAAGTCCTTAGTTTTCGTGGTCACAGATGATTGACGTGACTGTTTTCAATTGCAAACTATAATCGGACAATGACGATTCTCTTTATTGCCCGCCAGCCGCCACCAATTGTTGTGATTGTCGTTCACAGCCAATGGAACGTGACCGAGAGTCAGACGGCACTCGGAAACCGGTTACAGGCGATTCATTCAATAATGCTCAATTTGTACAGACAGGGAAATTGTGACGTAGCTTGTGACAAGTTTTACTGCGTCAATTTAGATCACGTGTGTGCTTGGAGACAGTCTTAAAATGGAACAGTTGAGTATATCTGTTGGGGTAAATTTACAAAACGATAATTAGACCTGTTGTCCTGTATGGATCTGAATGTTGGGCGACGAAAGTAAGGCATGAAAGAGGAGTGCATGCGGCAGAGATGCGAATGTTGAGATGTATGGGTGGAGTGACAAGAATGGACAAGATTAGGAATGAGTGTATCAGAGGAAGTTTGCAAGTAGCCTCGGTAATATTAAAAATATTTGACAAATTAGCGTGATTATTCAATGTGGTTGAGGCAGTAGGAAGACTGTCCTGCTCGTAATGAGATTAATGGAAGCTAAATAGGGTGGTATGCGTATTATTCTTCACCATCTCCCTTTGTTCGTCGTCTAGGGTCATTTGTATACGTGCCATTGGTTCTTTCATTATCCTGAGCTTTATTATTCTTGTAAAAGAACTCAAATTTATAAAGAACATACAAGTCTTTAGGCGCTTTTGTACCTTAGAGGCGTATTCTTGCTTTCAACGTCTTTACGTCACACAGGTAGCAAAGCTTTTTCTTACCTGTTTTCGGTAAACTCATTTAATCGGCTATGAGGATTGGCCCTTCGCTAGTCAGATACTGCGGTTAACAATGTTTTTTGTCTTTTTAAGCCAAACATATATTTTTTTCACTAGGTAATGAAATTCCAACTAGTCACTTTGTATAGTAGTTTCAAATAAAAACAAGTTTTAATGCGTCTTTATTTTTGTCATATCATTATCTGTGTTTATATCATTGTGGTTTCAGCTGATTTTAATTAGAATACGCAGTGCTGACTTCTGATCATAAGAATGTGCTGTATAAATGTGAAAGTGTGGTTGTTTTTTGTCCTTCTTTCACGTCGAAACATAGACTACATAGGGCTCGACGAGGTCGGTGACTGGTGCTTGTGGTACTTAAAAACACCTAAAAGCACCATGTTT